TTTTTTTTTTTTTTTTCGGAGCAATACGAAAGAGCTACAGTTTATCGAAAACAATTTATTGCAATTTATTTCGATTTCTCCCAGCAGCCAATATCGATGAAAGAAAAAAAAATTGTAGTCGTATTTTTTTTACACATCTTCACTTTTACAGTATCACAGTGTTTAGTATTTGCTGCAAAAAAAACTCTTAGTCAAAGAGGGTCCAATGACAGCGTCAACTATGAATGATAACTTTCGGTTGCATTTGTCATTTGCGAAAATTTGGCTTGTTATCAGTGGCCACTACCAATAGGCGACATTTCGAGACTGTAGTAAGGTTACTGTACGGTGGGAATGTCGCTAGAAATTTGTGAAAATATGAGCGAACCAATAGAACCAATTAAATTTTCACATAACATAGGCATATTTGACACTAACAAGTAGTTTACCTGATCAGTCGTGAGGTCGTTGACTGTTACTGTGAACGGCTTGGCTTAGTAAAGGTCATCGGAAAACGATAAAATAAAGAAAAAAAAAAAAACGTAAGTGAAATGTCGTGGTTACGTAACCAAGACCTTTGTTTGTTTCCAAGTAAATAATGAAGTTTAAGAGATCGTTTGTTGACCAGCATATATCGCATACAAGTACCACAGCAGTGCAACAGACCAGTGCTAAATAGCACCCACCCGCATGGGCTTTTTCATGGGAAAATACAGCAAAGCATTGTTCAGTTGCTAATTGATTTGTTTATTGACAATTAAAGGGATACTATGTCAAAAAAAAATTTTTCTTGGTGCAGCGTTCTGGTGGCTTATCAATATGAAAAGGTATTAGTTTTGGCTTTTTTTATACGATTAAGAAACGGACTTTATCTTTATGATTTTTGACCGAAAATGGATTAATAACTGCAGGAAGCGTAACTTGTGAAAACTATAGGTGTCACGTCGAAAAAACATAATACTTTTACGCGTGTGCGGTGCAGTTACATTTACTTTTTAAGATTCATTTTAACTGTATAAGAGAGAGACGATCACACAGCAAGGCAACACAGAATTCTAAAAATTGATATCACGAAAGAAAATTCAAGAAATAAGCGGTTTTTAGACACAGCAAAATTGACATTGTTAATCAAAAAGAATAGCGGTATTTATTTTTGTGATTTTACTCATGCAGAATACTGCTTTTTTGGCCAGTGAAGAGCATCCTAATTTGTCAGTTGAAAATTTGGAAAATTCTGTTTGACATCACTTATAAAACTGTTTCATAGGGACAAATTTGCAGATATCGCTACAACGATTAGTTGTTTTAACTTATAGACAGGATTAGTTGAAATTGAAGTACGCACATCAGGATAAAACATTTAGTGTAATCGTGGTTAACCTTTACTGATAAAAGGGTTGTTACTGTAATTTAGCTGGACTTATGGTAAAACTTTTATTCAACTTTATTCGCTGATACTGTAAAATGGTTGGTGGTCACATAAGAGTAAATAAATTCACTTCTCTTGGCGCATTCTACTAGTAAACTTTCAGAATGGGCTTGTTCTAAAGTTCAGCAAACACTAAGATATGTGCAAATAATCTGCTTCGTTTTGATGAGTTCAAGCATGAGTTATTGTAAATTACTGTAACAAGAATATTATTTGTGACTGTTCTAACGAGCATTAAGCATTTTTCATCAGGAAGTTCTGGACTTTTATTTTTTGGATATCACTTGTATAGGTTAGAGAGTCTGCATTTGCCAGAATTTAGCGTCAGATTTTTATAATTTGACTTATAGCTGTGTGGCAAGGACAATGCACAATTTTTTAAAGCTAACTGACGAAGATTTGTGAGAAATAGTGGTTATCGAAGGTGGTTGAAATATTTCTGGAAAGTCTTTTTGCTATTCATCCCACATTCCTGCTTCCTCTTCTTCCTTTCGTTTAATTGCATCTCTTTCTCTATAAAAGTAAAAAGTAAACTAGATGAGCTTTAGTAGGACGTGTGACTTTTTGAATTGGAAAGCAGGCATTCAATTGTCAATAACTCTGTAAAAATATTAATGTTTTTTTTTTATCTAATGTAGGGTAAAGATTGTACCGTCTGGCAGCTTTTGCTTTCTCTGTAATAATTTGTCGTTCTTCTTTTTCCTCTTCTGGAACCCACGCCTTCTGGTCAGGAATTCTGGGATCTTGTTCATCTCTCCAATTTTCTATGAGGTCAGGAAGTTCATTTTGTAGTTTTTTGACCTCGCTGATATAGAGTTGTTTGGCCTCTTCTTTTGATATGCCTACGCATTTTATAAAGAAAACCGCTGTTTGTCTACTGCGGTACTGTGACGATAAAGCAAGAGATAATGAAAGAAATCATATAAGAAAGGAAACCTATCAAAATTTTTACCTGCTTTAAGTACGGATAAGTTCTTTCAAATAAGTTTGAAAAGTTCTAGGTGAACTCAGAAAGTAGGTCAAAAGAGAACTTTACCTTTACATTTATTCCATGCATGCCATTTTCGGTTACCTTTAATCCAAGCCCACATGTAAGAAATTTCTACAGGATCAGTGTAATCCAACTCTTTAATATGCACTATTATTACTGCTCCATAATAATTCTTTTTCTCGTCTAATCGGTGATTTCTAAGGGTAG